GACCCCTGGGATCTGCATCGGCTACTGCCAAAGGTGAAAACTGTTTCACAATGCCACGGCCACAGGTAAGTACCGTCCCTACGGGCCTAGCAAACAAGCAAGTACCCTTGCGGGTCACACACACTCATACCGACAAGCACTCAGACAGGCACGCAGGTCACAAGCACACACACACAGACAGACTTAGAAAACACAGCAGAATGCGGGAATCTCATCAAGGCATCCATTCCATCGGCAGAACTTCAGAAATCAGCAGTGTTCTCAGTCTGTGTTTTGACGGGTCATTACATTGTTGTTGTTGTTATTGTTGTGATCTGAACCCTTCCCCGCCCATCCAAAGTTTTCCCGATGGAAAATTGACCCTGGTGGGATATCGTGCCTGGCTTAGGATGGGATCTGCTGATCTGGTCATCAGTGCCTTCCAGCTGCAGCTCCCAAACCTGGTTCTCCGAATTGCTGCACTGCATTCCAGCACGTCTTGCTTGGCTTCATCTCCGGCACCTCAAGTTGTAGATGTCATAATCGCTCCACTTCATGTCTTCAATAATGCGTGCCGCTTCTCGAACCAAGATCAACCATATATGCCTTCCAGGGCACACCATACACCATGCCCAAATACCACTGTTTTCTTTTTGTTTCTTTTTTTTTTTTCACAAAAAACTTACCTGTCTATTCATGGGTGCCACACCTGCTGGAAACAGGTGAGCGCTAGAGCATAGCAACCGAAGTCGCAATAAGCTCATAAATTCATGTGAAGAGATAAACGAGACATAGGAAGGGAGAAACCAGATTTAGCAAGAAAAGTCTCGAGGATGATGTCTGCAGCGTCTATTAGCATCATCACGCCTGCATTTAGCTATAGCATAACGAAAGGTGCCGTGGGACACTTCAGCAAAAATGTGGAATACACGTAAACCAAATATGAGAGTATCCAGCAGCCATAGAACCAATCTGAGCCAATCCATTTTGAGGTATACGATGAAACAGAAACTGGGAAGGGGGACAAATGATAGGCACACAAGAGAGGAAGAAGAAGAAGAAGATGAAGAAAGAGACGTAGATAGAGAGCAAGAGCAAGAGAAAGAGAAAGAGAAAGAGAAAGAGAAAGAGAAAGAGAAAGAGAAGGAAAGAAAAAGAAAAGAAAAGAAGAAGAAGAAGACACGTTGAATCTTTCGGACCGACAGCAATGCGACGAATATATCTTGAAGCCCAAGCGATTAGAACAAATAGATAATCATAAAGCTCAAAAAATTACTCCATCCCTGCCGAGCAGGCACCCTGGTCGGCGAAGGAGAAGCATAACTCAGCTGCGCCCGACATGTTTCGACTGGCGCCGAAAAACCAGTCATCATCAGGGGCAATCGCATGGAGCCCTCCCATGCTCAAATGCCATTGTCAGAAACAGGTCCACCATCCCATGTCAAAGACTCGCATCCAAACGGAAATTGAAGTTTAAGTTGATATTGAAGTTGATATTGATGTTGAAATTGATGTTGATTTTGATGCTGGAATTGAAATGAATGTGTGTGTGTGTGTGTGTGTGTGTGTGTGTGTGTGTGTGGTGTGTGTGCGTGTGTGTGTGTGTGTGCATGTGTGTGTTGTCATCTTCACTATACACAACTCCACAGAAAATTGCACGACTCTGTGTGTGTGTGTACGTTGTCATGTTCACTATACACAACTGCATGTTTGTGTGTGTGTGTTATCATGTTTGCTATACACAATGCCACGGAAAAAGCATGACTGTGCCAGACTGTTTCGTCTCAATTTTATTGACTCATCAGGAGGTTGAACCACGACATTCTGCCGAGGATGCATTTGACTGATGGATAAGGACTCACCACACCACCCTCCCTCTGTGTGTGTGTGCTTGTGCGCGCGCGCGCGCGCGCGCGTGTGTGTGTGTGTGTGTGTGTGTGTGTGTGTGTGTGTGTGTGTGTGTGTCAGGAGCACGAATTTGCACCTTGTGCCTCAGAAAGGGGCAAGGACACGCGATGCCTCCTCTAATGGAGGAGATGCTGAGATTGTGGCAATGGCCCATGATGGGGGTGTTGGGGGCACACTCCCCGAGGCAAGGCGAATTATCGATCCTGGAGGGCCCACTAAGCGCATTGAGTCAGCTTCGGCAAGAGACCTGGATGCTCATCAGCACACCTCCAAGAAGAAGACAAAAAGCTCAGCAATTGGTGCAATCCATCTTGGTCAAGGGAAGCCAGCTGGACCGTGGATTCCAGTTCTGGTTCAAATCCTTAGCAATATACTCCAGCTATAAGGTAGGTTGAGCCAGTTTAAAAACAGAACAGGAAAAAAGGTTGAGCTAGTTCAGAAAAAGAAGAGAAAAGGGTTGAGCCAGTCCATAAAAAAACACACAAAAAACACACAAAAAAAAACAAGGTTGAGCCAGGAATTTTGACTTATCGTATCACTGTATGTATATCGTCCTAAAGAACCGCCTGGTGAACCATATGCAGAAAAGGAGAAAAGGCCAAGAAACACTCTGCAGTCTGTAGGGGCCCCTAACAGATGATGATACTGTAAGTGATTATCCACCTTAAACCACCAGTACACCATACGTCGGCCGCAGGTGTCAGGCTGATACCGGTACCACTTAGAAGGCCGCCAATTTTCTCTTTCTACAGCGCCCCGCCCCGGCCCAGCCTGCCTGGCCCTGAAATCTGAAGTTGGTCGTGACGGAATCTTCTGCAAGGCTGGGGACATGTACTGGTGGTCTGACCCCGGTTACAGTTAAGACTGCTCCACAGCTGATATCCTGAGGTGGGCATCAACCACTCCACTCAAGGGTACCTGTGACAAAAAGCAAACCGGACTATCACTCGCCCACACCAGACAGAAGATCTATACACTGCAGGCTCACAACCCATCATCATAAGCCAGCAACCCCCCCACGAAACAAAGAAAGGTCTTCACAGCCAGAAAATACACTCCGAACACACCACTAGCACTAGATGGACATGTAGTGATGGCCCTCACCACTGCTGTTCAACCTGGATGTCCCTCCGTCCCTCCATCCCTCCATCCCTCCATCCCTCCATCCCTCCATCCGTCCGTCCGTCCGTCCATCCGTCCGTCCATCCGTCCATCCGTCCATCCGTCCATCCGTCCATCCGTCCATCCGTCCATCCGTCCATCCGTCCATCCCTCCCTCTCTCCCTCTCTCCCTCTCTCCCGCCCTCCCTCCCTCCCTCCCTTCCTCCGTCTGTCCCTCCATCCCTCCATCCGTCCGTCTGTTCGTATATATGTCCGTCCATCTGTCCGTATGTCTGTCCGTGCATCCTGTCCATCCCTCCGTCCGTCAGTCCGTCCATCCCTCCCATCCCTCCATCCATCCATCCGTCCCTCCCTCCCTCCCTCCGTCCGTCCCTCCATCCCTCCCTCCGTCCGTCTGTCTGTATGTATGTCCGTCCGTCTGTCCGTATGTCTGTCCGTGCATCCTGTCCATCGCTCCGTCCGTCCCTCCGTCCATCCCTCCCATCCCTCCATCCATCCATCCGTCTATATGTACATATTACGTCATCGTATATTTTAGATAGCGATGGACGTATTGTGCAGTCATGGAATATGGAAGTACAATACTCACATGAAAAATCGAGAAACGGTTCACATTTTTTATTAAAAAAAAAAGCATTAGCACAGGTACTCGTGTGGCTCTGCACGATGCGAAAAAAAAGTCTCATGCAGCGCTGCTGCGCGACTGGGGATGTGGTGTCGGGTCGTCAAATTCCCGGCAGGGCCTTGCGGGATGCATCAGGCGATACCCTATTCTTCCTTCGAACCACCACTACTTTTCCCACCGGCAGGGCCTTGAGGGATGCACCTGGCCACCCTCTGACATTTCTCTAATCTCTAATACTATAAAGGAAGTCTCTAATACTATAAAGGAAGGAGCAGGTCTCGCGTGGCGCTCCCAGTGGGCCCAGCGAAATTCGGGCAGGGAGGTCCGCGCGTGGTGCCGCAGGGAACCGAGGAGGGTGCGCCGATCGGGGAGGCCGGTAGCTGGGACGGGCGTCATCGCTTCGGGGGGGGGGGCGTGTCGGTTGGAAGCGCGCGGTGCTGCAGGGGACCAAGGAGGCGCGCCGGTCGGGGAGGCCGGTAGCTGGGACGGGTGTCATCGTGTCGGGGGGGGGGGGGTGTCGGTTGGCGGGGCCGTGTTTGCGTGTCGGGTTGCGGGGCAGCGCGTCGTTTCCCGTGTCTGGGCGAACGGGACACAAGCGGGCAGAGGGCCGGCACCGACAGTCGAGCCGCGGAGACTGGGCCAAGCAAACTGCCGGCGGGCGAGGGCGAGGGCGCGGCCTGCGGGACGAGCGGGAGGAGGAAGGGGGGAAGAGCAGGAGGAGCAGCGGGAGGAGGAGGAGGAAGAGCGGGAGGAGCAGGAGGGCCAGCGGGAGAAGGGCGGGGG